TGAAATGAGCTAGCTGTATGTTAATTCAGAATGGAAAGCGACAAAGTTGGATTATTCCATCACTGTTTTATCTGCTCAATTTCCTTCATACTCTCTAATCCACATCCTTTCAATTAAAATTGATCGAAATAAAACCAAGAGGAAATAATCTAATCTTTATTCATAAAATCCATAGTTCGGTAAAAAGTTATGCAAGTCCCACAACATTGGCTTTATTTATTAATATATTTTTTTCCCCAACTCAAAACAGTTGTTCAACTAGTTGGTACTTTACTTACGGCTCAGTTTCACTTTTAAATTTCTTGGCAATCCTACTGGAAATGCAATAGGAGATAGACTGAATAGTGATCATGGGATTCACTCCAATTGCAGTGAGCAGCACACTTCCATCGCTTACGAACAGGCCTTCTGCTTCCCAACTCTCACCGTTCTCATCAACCGCTCCTTCCTCCTCTGTAGCTCCCATTCTACAGCTTCCCATCTGATGTGCCGTCAAATATACATTCCACGTCTCATTCTTGGACTGCAACCCTCCTGTAGAGGATACATCATCCAGGAACTCCTCCAAACTTTCATTGGTAAGTCCTCGGCATTTGATTCTCTGACCGTCACTTCTATAGGTTCCCACTTCTTCTGCTCCAGCTGCAATTAGAATTCTCAATGTCTGCCTCAACCCGGTTCTCAGATTCTCTTCGTCGACCTCACTCAATTGATACTTGATCTTTCCCTCTTCCATCACTTGTCCCGTACCCTGGTCTCTCACCAATGGAAAAAGGTGAGCGGTTCTGGGAAGCTTCAACATCCTTTCCTTCAGGTCACCTCCTGAAATCCAGGGAGAGAGTGCTGCATAAATGCCTGGTCCGACCGCAGCAGCCTCTATAAGCGCAACCATTTTGGAATCTCCTGAAACAACCTTGTGAAGTGAAGTGATAATTCCTCCCTCGAACATTTTGCCTTTGATCCCCGATGCATCTTCTGGAAAGTATCCCCATGCTAGAAGAACCGGATGGAGATGGAGATTCCGACCAATATTTGGATTCTGCAATCCGCTAGAGATCATTAAAGGTGGTGTCAATAGAGACCCACAAGCTGAAACTGTAACCTTAGCCTCAATTTGCAGCTTCTTCGTCAGATTATTGTTCAATGCTGTTGCAATCACTCCCAAACATTTCTTCTTTCTCCTTCCATTGTCATTATCTACCAATATGAACCTCTCAGCTTTAGTTCCCGTTACGATCACGGCTCCACAGGCCACAGCATCGACCAACCAGGTAGAATCAGTTCCCTTCTTGTCTCCTGTTCTGCATCCTAAATTGCAAGAACCGCAGAAATGATTCTCCAATGAATTCCTCGGCACTTGCTCGACTTTCAGACCAAGAGTCTCACACCCTTTTCTCAAGATTTGGTTTTGAAATCCTTCCTCTGAACACTTATCTGTGACACCAAGCCTCTTACATACAGCATCCATGGCAGAATGATACTCATTGTTGCCAAAAAATGGGATCCTATGATCCACAGACCACTCTCTCAGAACATTCTCCGGTGTTCTGATGGATGCAGACCAGTTAACAGCAGAGCCTCCGCCTACTATTGAACCCGCCAAAAGTGAAATTTGGCCGTCCACAGTGGACATAATTCCACCACCCTCGTATAGCTCAGACATAGAAGGCCCTTCTAGGGAAGAATAGTCTTCTGGAACAAAATAGTTCCCTTTCTCAAGAACAACAACTTTCTGACCGGAGCTTGCCAGAACTCCGGCAGCCACCCCTCCTCCACAACCAGAACCAATCACCACTACATCACATTTTATCTTGTAGATGTTGTGTTCTGGATCATCAATGACTT